AAAAGGAATCCTATTATTATACTTGTTCTATCTTGAAATAAATACATAATATTTCAAACAATATTTAGATTTTTGGTCAGCCAGAATTCACACCTCATCATAACTGTAATCACTGGTACATGTATTCCTAAAATGTTTGTATAACCAGACAACATATACAATTACTCCAAATCTATATATTCATATACACACATATAGGTGCATCTTCACAAATGTACCTCTAAATATATACTTAAATATTAAAAGAAATAAGACCGATATACTTTCACCATAATTCTATTAATAAATCATTGGCATGGGTAGAGTCTGAATATACTATTACATTATTTATGAATGGTTTTAGTTCAATATATCCCATTTTGTTTTGTAGTATGGTGTATCATCTCTTTCTGTAATAATCACTCAAATCTCAAACCGGTTGAATTCCTTAATCATCTGTGCTTCACCTTTGCTTTTATTGGCCTTGTGAATAGGTTCTAGTTTCTCTCAGTAATCCGTTGTATTCAGCAAATGCTGTTTATTGAAGATGTTTGAGTTGGAAAATTTTTGAGTTCTGGACAATGCATCTGTTTGTTCATTCAAACAATCCAGGTATTGCAGCAACACTCATCAATAAGAAAACACAATGAGCTGATGGTTTGTGTGTATTTGGTTCAAAGTAATTGACTGCATTTTGTCTCCTGTCCTTTGAGTAATGGTATTAAAATGGAGAATCAGTCACGCCATCCTATATCCTGGCTGTAATAAGAATTGTTCTGACAATGTGCATTTGTCCTAAGCGGGTGATATGGTATGGGAAATGTCAATAATGAGGCAACAAATACAATATACATGTGGCAAAATATATGTTTGTTTTTTATATCTCTAAGAGTATTTGTGTGTCTGATTTTGAAATCTGATTGAACCTGATACCGGAGAAACTGACGGAAGCAAAGCACAGAGGGATGGACACAGGTTTCTTCAGGAAGGAAGAGATTCTTTATTGGATCACCGATCGGGACTCAGAGGGACTAATGTCACCAAAAATACAGCAAGTTCTGAGCCCTGAACAATAGTGCAGGCTCCCTATATAGGCACATAACTCCTCCCATATTAAGCTCCACCCGCACATTCTCTTGACCAATCATTACAAATAAGAATTAACTTCCTGCTTGACCGCATGGCTTGTCCAGCACAATGGAGGAGGGGAATACTACATCCTGTATTCTTGCACATGCTCCGTACACTACTGATCGTATCTTGCCTCGTGCAACCAACTGATCGATACGTCAGCATATGCACGTACACATGCCACGTGGTAATCTCGGCCTACTAAATTTATTTTTACCGAGATTCCACCACATTCCCCCCTTTGATGCCTCTTGATATTTTACAATTACTTGAGGCATCACTTAACCTTGGTTTGCATACACCACAAGTTACCTTTGAACCAGACCAGACTTATCCTATGATGTGAATCTTCAACACTCGTCTTCCTGCATTGGTTCTCCCTGATCTAGAGCCTTATATTTATAAATTGCCATTATCTGTGCAGCAGCCTTCCTCTCTGCTATATTTTCTATCAGGCTTTGCACAGACCTAACTACTAAGGGTATAAGACACGGCAGGAGTAGACACAACATTAAAATCAGTAGGACTCCACCTACCACTGCCTTAAGCCCTCCAAACCACTCATACCAGCTACCAAACCAACTACTTGGATTGTACCCTTTCCATACCTGAGTAGGCACATGCGCTAGTTTAACCATATGGCTAGTAAGCTCAGCTATTGCTTGCCCTTCGTCATCTATTTGAAGACAGCAATTGCTCAGGTTAAACTTCCCACATACACCTCCCTCTACTGCCAAAAGATAATCCAAGGCTAATCTATTTTGGTAAACTGCTGTTCTCATCCTGGTATTATGCTTCGCTAGAAGATTGAGCGCTTGTGATGTCTCGTTAGTAATGATCTCAACCACCGCCTGTAACCTTATAATGCGGTTGAGCATATAAATAGGGGTTCTATAACCAAAGGTACCATCCTCTGCCCACGTGGCTGGCCCATAATAATCTATAATACGCTGGGGAGGCCATTCATTATCTTCCCAGGCACCTATCTCTATGGGTCCCCTTTTCTTCCTATGATTCACATCATACACTTTAACACCTAAAGTCTCACCTGTTTCAATAGGCAACAAGAAGAAGGATGGTTTTAACATACCCAACACACATGCCCCTTCCCAGTCCTGTGGTAACTCCGAATAGGCCTTCTTACCACAGATCCAGTACAAATTCGCTGGGGCTCTCCAGTTAGATGTGATGGATAGATCAAACCATACGTCCTTTAAATTGGCATATCTTGCAAACGGGTTAGATGGTTCTGAGACATTTGAAGCCGACCACCAAGTTGTATTCTTTGTATCATCATCATAAGCTTTTTGCCCTAGACAAGTTAATTCTCCTACAGAAGTATTATACATCATTCCTTTCCTCGCTATGCAAACATAACCTATGATGGAGGTCTTCAATCTCCACTCAGATTTACCTCTAACACTCATATGATAGTCGGCTTGTGTAGATATTAATTGGTCAACTGCCTCAGAACCGGACATTACCTCCTTTGCTTCCCAAGGCCATTGGTCTCCCATGTTAGTACCTCCACACACATAGCAGTTGGTAACATTAAGACTACCGGCAATACTCTCGGCTAAATCAATGAACAAGTTTTTAGCATTATGGGGGATCTTATTATCTATGCTCATCTCTTCATAAAAGGAATGGTATACTTGATGAGTTTGGGAGGTTACCGTATCAGTCTCTATCCCTATAAACAATATTGTCCCAGGGTCTAAACCCGTCCCATATATTTGAAACCCAAATAAATTACCATATTTATCTAAGAACTTGTCAGGGTTATTTATAAGTATATGGATTGGATTGCATTCCATAGACTTACAATATGGATTAGTAGGCAACTTAGTCACAATCATGTCCTTGTCTGCTGTCTGTCCCCAAGTCGCCCACCCCACACAAGACCAATATGGGCAGAAGTTATAATCTCTATTTGGGCATCTTGGACTTACATATTTATTTTTACTACTGGGACAAATATATTTATCGTTAGACCCATACGTCCTCTCCCATCTAAGATCCCCACATACATTCCACGGCTTTCTACCACTTGATATTGCTTTACACGCATCAAATAGCAGAGCACCTGAAGAATATACGGATTCTAATACAGTCTTATTAATTAGGGTCCCCTGAGGATCTCCATTTCTGAGAGTCAACCAAATTGTACGGGGTTGATACTCAGGACTGAAGCACTTAGGTTCTCCTACTCCTAAATGACACACACTATATTCTATATTTAAGTATCTACATCTTGATACATCTCCTTTACACTCATATTGCGAATGCCAAATTAGGGTCTGGGATATATGGTTACCTGTTCTTGTAGTCTTAATGCATACCTCACAGCTAGGAGTGTTGGTACCTCTACCTTCCTGAATATAAAAATACACATAAATAAACATTATTAAAAATACATCTTTCGTCGTCATCCTCAGTCTTCGTCCGTGTGAAGGCACCTCAGCTTCCAGGATGTAAGGACTGCAGGGAATGGAGTTCTGCTCGTCTTCACAGGGGTCCCCTCAAGACTTTCCCTGACTTATACACTCGTTGGTGAGTGGACAGGCTTTATTATGGCCTTCTCACTCACTTACCAAGTCTCTGAAACAATAAAATTTGTAATCTACAAGGTTCCTCGTCACTCCGACTGAGTCGTGCGTTTTAACCGGATCTTGCAGGGATTCTCTGGATTTGCTGTAACTTGCCAGGAATCGGCTGCTGCTGGTTTAACCCTGGAGTGATGTATCCACGGAGCCACTTCGGCTACTTTTATCGCTGTAGGGGTAGACAGAAGAACAACATAAGGACCTCTCCACTTGGGCCCTAACGGCACATTATTCCACTCTTTAATCCACACTTGGTCGCCTGGGTGGTAACTATGAATTGGGGGATAAATATTCACAGGTAATCTATCTTGTACCCATTTCTGTACCTCCTCCATAGTCTTACCCAACTCTACAACCTGCTGCCGGGTAATTCCTTCTCCCAACTGACTCAAATCCCCCCTTAAGTTACCAAGCACGGGAGGTGGTCGCCCGTACATGATTTCAAAAGGAGAGAGGCCCATCCTTCTGGTAGGTGTACTACGGATTCGCAATAGAGCTATGGGCAAGAGAACGTTCCACTTAAGTTGGGTTTCCTGACACATTTTAGCCAACTGATTCTTAATAGTTCTATTCATTCTCTCTACCTTACCAGAACTCTGGGGTCTATATGCCGTATGAAGCCTCCACTTTATACCAAGCATATGAGTCAATTGTTGTAGGCACTGATGAACAAAAGCTGGACCATTGTCCGATCCTATAGAGCAGGGTAGTCCATATCGGGGTATTATTTCTCGTAGCAGGAATCTCACGACTTCTCCTGCTTTCTCTGTACGAGTAGGACATGCTTCTACCCAGCCTGAATAGGTGCACACCACTACCAGCAGGTAGCGATGTCCACCCGATTTAGGCATCACTGTATAGTCAATTTGTAAATCGGACATGGGAAGTCCCCCCATAAACTGGACTCCTGGTGGCTTTACTGGTCCTTGTCTTGCATTATTTTTAGCACACGTTACACATCTACGTACAATGGCCTGAGTCAAGTTGGACAATCTTGGTATGTAGAAATGTTTTCTGAGAGATTCTTCTGTACTGTCTCTCCCAGAATGTGTCCCGTTATGATAGTTTTGGACAATTTCTACCGCTAGTGATGCTGGAATAACTATTCTTCCATCTTCTAACTGATACCATTTGTTCTCCAAATACTTTCCAGGTTCAGTCCTTAACCACTCCTCTTCTTGAGCTGTATAAATTGGAGTCCATTGAGACAGTGGAGTTGGTATAAGAGCAGCTATATGCCCCACATATTCCTGTCTTCCTGATTCAGCAGCACGCTTAGCTGCACTATCTGCCATCCGATTCCCTTTGGTTACATCACCATCTCCTCTCAGATGCGCCCGACAATGTATAATACCGACTTCTTTCGGCTCCCACACTGCTTCCAATAGTTGTAGGATCTCAGCTGCGTATTTGATTTCTTTGCCTTCTGAATTCAATAGTCCTCTTTCTTTATACAAAGCTCCGTGGGCATGAGTGGTTAAAAACGCATACTTGGAGTCCGTGTAGATGTTCACTCTTAAACCTTCAGCCAATTGTAACGCTCGTGTCAGTGCTATCAATTCTGCCTTTTGTGCTGATGTTCCTTTTGCCAGTGGCCGAGCTTCTATCACCTTGTCTATCGTTGTTACTGCATATCCTGCATAGCGGATCCCTTCTTTTACATAACTACTGCCGTCGGTGTAATATTGAACATCAGGGTTCTGGATGGGAAAATCACGAAGATCTGGTCTACTTGAAAATACTTCATCCATTACTTCCAAACAATCATGTTGACTTTCAGTAGGTTGTGGCAAAAGGGTAGCTGGATTTAAGGTATTTACAGTCTCTAAATGCACTCTTGGGTTTTCACACAACATTGCTTGATACTTGGTCATACGGCTGTTACTAAACCAATGATTTCCTTTGTAATCCAACAACGTCTGTACTGCATGTGGAACTCGTACATAAAGTTCTTGACCCAGAGTGAGTTTATCGGCTTCAGCTACTAGCAGGGCGGCTGCAGCTACAGCTCTTAGACAAGGTGGAAGTCCGCTGGCCACTGCATCCAGTTGCTTAGACATGTAGGCAACAGGTCTTTGCCATGATCCCAAGTACTGT